GCCCCAGTGCATTGTGGGTCGACTTTTGAGTCGAAGGCTCCGGTCAGGGTTTCCAAACAAAAATCCCTTCGTCGGTGTGGGCTACCGCGAAGTATTTTATCCCACAAAATCTTAGTTACCCAATTGGAAAAACCCCTTTCTCATTCATCCAGTTCTTCCTCTCACTCGCAAATATTAGGAGATGCCTACTGCTTGCGCCAGCCATGGGATATCACCCAGTGCTCAACCAGTGAGATGAAACAAACAGAAGCTATCAGATTTGTTAATTGAAAATCTCCTTTTCTCATAACCGCATTTTATTGTGAAACACAGACACTCCTTTCGTACACCCACCATTTCTACCTTCCTTGATATGGAAGCGGCTTTCTTCTCAGTCGACCGCTTTAAACTCTGGCGCTGCTTCTCTCTGAAGGATTACCCGAGAAATTAAGTTCAATTCTGCCATCTCTTTATACTAATAGCCGAAACCGAACCCGAGCCTATGACACTTATTCGCCCGAGTTCACCACAGAAAGTGATGCTCGTCAGGGTTGCCTTCTCTCTTTCCCCTTTTCTTTTTTAACTTTGTCACAGATTTGATTAGGGGAACAGTCCTGTCCTCGTGTAAGAATAATGGCATCGAGCTACTCCCAGATGGTAGAGTGTCTGATCTGGAATATATAGACGACGTTTTACTGCGAAGCGAAGAACCAGGTAAATTGCAAGCTTTTCCGGATAGTTTGAGTGCTAGTGTAGCCATGCCCGGTATGTGTTTTGCACAGTCAAAGTTTAAGATGTTGCTACAGGACTGGGTTGGTCTAGCATCCAGCCTCTCTCTATCTGAGAAGGTAGTAGAGGAAGTAGATAGATTTTTTTTATTTGGTCAGTGATATCTCACCTGTAGGACGCGTTGCACATGGTGTGTCGGTTAGCATAAATTAGGCTCGATTGACCTTCTCCAATTCAGGGAATTTACAACACTGTCGCGATATCCAGCTATCTATCTGTGAAGGATGTAGAATATGCAGCAACAGGTTAACCCATCGTGCACTACGGTGTAGAATTAGTCATTTTTAAACTGCATAAAATAGATTTTCGGTTTTTAAACACCGATGTCTGCCCCACTTTTCACGAGCGTGATTGATAAACCGGAAAAGTAATACCTAGGTTGGATTGAAATTTCAACTTATTGCGGTCGTCCACTGAATCAATTGGTCAAACTCTGTAGACAACGGTGAATGTCACATGTGCTGCGCATATCACCAATTAGGCTGCCATGGCACGCTATGTTTGCCGAGGCACGCAACGGAGGGAAATGGATCAGAGGCGATCAAACTAAGATGTGGTATGAGGGTATGAATACTTTGAACAAGAGAGCAGTTGACATAGGTCGCGTTAGGCTGCCTGGATGAGGGTTTCGAGGTCATAGTAACCGGTGTTTCGAGACACTGATTGATATGTTTGGATGTCGCAAACAGTGGCGCTCGAGCATCTGAGTAATAATCTTGCTACCCTGTCTATTTGAATTCTCTATTCTCACTCTTGCTCTGCGCTCAAAAATCCAATCTTCTTTTTGCACTTTTATCCAAAATGGGTAATCACGAAACAGCAACAAAAAGTGATGCATTAAAATGCATGGATAGTGGTTATAAAACTGAAATTGAAACTGGAAGATGAGGATTCAGCTAGCGGTACGCTGGGCCAACTAGCTCTCACGGAGCATATGTTGTGTGGGACTGAATGACTCAAACCTTCAAAGACATTATGTGATAGCTGATAAAAATTGGTTCTGACGAGGTAAGGTGTTATCATAATTACCAAGGTAAGCAAACAGCATTACCATTAATGATGTTCTTTGTGGGTGACTGCTTCCCAAATTACCGCATAAAGTTCAGTGAAAGTATCTTTCCTTCATTACTGTTCTTCTTGTTGATGTTTTCTCTGTCTCGCTTGATGAAATGTATCTCTTTATTTTAGCGTTTTAATATTTACGTTCACAGAATAACCCAATTCCATATATTTATGCACGATTTTGAGTAAGCGAAGGCGAAAAAATGCATTCAACTAATGAAAATATTCAAGTATTCGTAGTTGAAAAATTAAAAGCACATATTCATAATTTATTCTCAATAATTTAATATTGGATTATTTTTCAAATCAGTTATGTGACCATTACTCCAAGTTCTCCGTAAGGAGGGTACCAAAATCGTCAGTTCCCCCCAAGGCAGAACACATTTTATCATTTAACATATGCGATTACAAGTAATATTTGTGGTGATCCTAGCGTATGAGATAACGCCAACCACGGTGCAACTCATTTCATTTTCTGGATAACAAACAACAGGACAAACGTAGCTACCAATCGGAAACCGTGCGGTCCAGACAGAATTTGTATGACATCAGGAAAACATACAACTGATGGAGACCTGTATAACCAATATCCGTTTGGTTCGTTTTTTTCCTCTATAAATCAATCGCTACTTGTGTCGCCTTTTTACTGCGTCTCGGCGACGGCAGATCCCAAAGTACTTTTGCTAGTATCATTCTTTGTTTCAGTTGCGACCGTGATTCGTGGTCCTTACTTCGTACCTACTTCGATTACTACAATTTGGCGTCCCACAATGGAGCTATCAGCTACTGAACATTTGAACCTGCACGCCTGTCCGTTCGAGATCGAGGAATGGGTGGAATGATTCGAGCCGTGACGCAGCATTTACAAGAGTCTTGCACAGAGACGATCGGCTCTATTTCTCACTGCGGGAGACCGTATCCATTATTCCTTGCTAAAGAATCTGGCATTTCCCGAGGCTCCCGCAAACCTTGCATGCGACCCCTTCAAACGGGAGCAGATTGTTCACCTTCTGCCCACTGAATTTCAGACACATGGAAGAAAGAAATTCAATTCCTTGGTTCGTGCCGAAAACATATCTTGTCACGATTTCGTCCCCCCTTTGAAAAAAATGATGGCGTTCGTTTGGTCGAACTACTGTATGGCCTTCTTGGGGTAGGTATGAACAAATTAACACTGCAACGGAAATTATTGGAAAAAAAGATCTGACGTTCGCAGAGGCAGGCAAGATATGTGAACAACATGATGATCTGATGCAAACAACTTCCAACGAAACGGTCACTCTATTCCAACTGTACAGCCACAAACCAGTCTGACCTCCAGTGGCCAAAAATGTAGGCTAGTCACAACGAGAAACCAATCGACTCATACCTATGGTATGGAGATTACCACCTGCCCTCGATAACGCTAAATGCCATGCGTGCGGGAAAATTGGTCACATACGGACGATGTGCAAACAGCTCCGTTGTAACACAACACAGTCACAGACCCAGCGAACTACAAACCGTGTGTTTGCATTAAGAACCCAGAGTGAGTGCCCAGTTCGTACTCAAAAATGTAGTACTTCAGTTTGGTATATATTCATTATGGAGACAGGAGGTATGGACTCCATCATTTCTGCTGAAGTAGTACACTCGATTTTTCGAAGCCAAACTCTGCCCAATGTCCGTACAAACCCTGGATGCTGCTGAACACAAACTGCCGTTGATGGGCGAGGTTTCGCGGATGCTGCACTCTGTAGATAATAGCTTTATTCCCATTCGTTTCAGGATAACCAAAAGCAGCCCATCCGTACCGGGTTTAGAGGCCATTCGTGTGTTGAGCCAATCCGTGTCATTCCATACCAGCACCGCGTCGAATTCGCACCCGCATCTGCAGCGGATAATCGTGAAGTGTTTCAACAATGCTGGAGTTGTGCACATTCGGCCTACCAGATTGGAAGCTGATGGTGAGCCAATCTCATTCTTGCGTCTCACCGACGGGAGATCTCAGCGTACAATTGTTAGTGCAATTCTGTGCTTCAGTTGCGACCATGATTGATGGCTACCGAGACTATAACAGAAACCTTACGACAAATCAATCATAATGTGGTAGATGTAACAGTAACAGCACTCCAAAAAGTACCTCTTAAAGGTAACGGATGGAACTCAGTAGTTGAAACCAACTGCACTCATGCAAACCTTGTTCAGTTAAGTACAATGGAGAAATGCATGTGCCAGAAAAAAAATAAATGTCATCGTACTAGGAAAGGACTACATAACGAGCCCGTGAATTCTGTAGAATAAAACCGAGCAGTATAATGTGGTTGATCGTTCGTTTGTTGATCGAGTTTGTTCACCCCTAGCCTAGGTCATAAATAATACTCGTTATGAAAACTACTTCATTTGACGTTCACTGCATGTCTCAGTGACACTCATTTAAATTGTCTTTTTCCCTCTATAACCGATGACTGCGCACATAATAACAACAATCAGACATTAATCGGAATGTTGACTTATGTATCGTGTATCTTTCAAAAACACTTACATATCTATCCAACAATTATCAATGCTTTGAGTAAACTGGTTTCGTGTTGTTCACTTTTCTGTCTGATAACAACAAAAAAACACGTGGTTGGGTCTTGGTTCGGAGCGATTAGGGCTAACAGATTTATCTGCTATTTCGTTGGTGCCATTATTATCGCCGTGGATGGTTAAGTGACATTGTTTACAACAGAAATAGCCGTGTGGGATTTCTCATGGCAGATTTTTCCCCATTTATTCATTTTTACAGGAAGAAATTGCATCCATTTGACGAGTTGCTTCCGACTCCAGCAATTTGGACTTCATATCGTGAGGGCAACGTTTTTCAATCTCGACGGTCATATCATTCGCGTGCTTCCGAAGGCCCGGAAGTTACACGACTGGTTCATCCTCCTTCTTCTGTTCATCACGTACCTCACTTCAAACCTCGTCAAAGGGGGGTCATTGAATCGGATTATTATGTTGCCCAATTCAGTGACGGGGAAGGAAGCAGTGACCATTCAGAATATAGCATAGCTACCGTTCAGTCAGCACCTTTGTATAACCCTCATTGTTACTCACATGGGACTCCGATTTCAATAGCTTCAATATGGTCTTCACCAGGGTCCGAGTTTCACCAGTATCGGAAGCGTTTGCCCTTATATGTCGATCATCGGGATCTGTTCAAGCATGGTCTGGATTACCATCCACACATCAGATGGGCAAGTTCGGACGTGAGCTCATCCACCAGTCGAAAAATAAAACCAAGCAGCTTCCCCGAAGTCGCGCATGAATGGAAAAATAATCCGAGCATGTGTTGTACCCAAACTGTATGGCCTGGTACAAGTGCAGACCTCCCGGGATTTAAAACTGTAAGAGCAGGTCTTTGTGCAGACGAACCCGAATGATGTTTTGGTTGTCGAGGTATACGTGCCACTGTATGTTTGATGATAAATCTTGCGCGAATACATTAATGAACAAGTTTATTGATACTTTATTCCAGTAATAATATATTTAACTTCACTGCATTGACACTGGTGCATTCAACATTCAAGACGAGAAAGGACTGCAACCCATAAAAATCCACCTTGAAGTTGGAGGCGTCGATGCAGTTAACACTCGTGGGGTTGATAGGATGGTGGTCGTAAGTATTCAATTATCACCGCTTATATACTTGATGTTCAAAGCACAGAGTGAACCAGTCCGTTTTCATGAAACTGGTCTATGCAAAAAGATCTTCAATTCTCCCGACGTGTCAAGGATTTCTCATTTAATCGTCATCTAACATAACCCGAGGCAGGGTTACACCAGATTTATATCCCTCCAAATATATGGGCACAAAACCACAAGTACTCGTTAAGTGAAAATGAGCCTATCTGTGGTATTACTTATATTTAAGCGGTGAGTTATCGGGATGTTGGGTTGGATGAATGGTGCCAACAATGGCGTGTTGAGTTCATAAAACGTACAGCACGATTGTAGGCGTGAATAAACCACTCGGGGCCATGGTTTACCGGGCTTGGAAAAGTGTGGAATTTAAAGGTACATACCTTGAAGAACAATCTCAGTGAAGTTTGAACTAGAATTGGAAACAGACCTCGAAACAGCAAGCAATCCAGAGATAAACTAGAACGTCTCGAAAAACGTCCCAGTTGACTGAGTCGTAACTTTGAAGCTGCGTCTGGAGTAAGTTGGTGAACTGGGATGAGAGAAATGAGATAATGGTCCAAAGGAGAAACCGAATCGATGCTGAAGGAAGAAGAGGGAATGGGTGTAAGATTGAGGTCAAAGGTGTAGGGGCGGTCACCAACACGATCAAGGATACGTATGGAGAGGTCAACTAGCTGACTCAGGTTGTTGATCACCACAAAAGCCTCAGCTTCACATTTATTGAACGAAGTGTTTGAAGAGTGATTCAGCCATTCTTTGTTGCGGACAGCGAAATCTCCGACAATGATAATTTGGCTGTTTGGCTCTGTGGCCATTAGTGTTTCAATGTTAGGTAATAGAATATCAGAAATAGAAGGATCGCTACTGCTCGGGAGCTGTAAACAGTACAAAAATTGGTTGAAAGAAGGGAACCGAAGTTTCAGTCACATAAGCTGGAATTCGCGGTTAGAGAAATCGAGGTGCGAAAGTCGGGAAGAGGCGACAGAATGATGGATATAGACGCCGATAACGGCTTCAAGAAAAAGAAGACTGGAGGAAGCAAACTAGGCAACTGGAGATGAGTAGTTTTCGACGAGGGAGAGATTAGTGTCGCAGCCAAAAATAACGCAAAGTGGAACGATTGGAGAAGGTGGTGTACAAAACAGACATTGCAATTAAAACTACGAATGTTAGTGAGGGCAATAGAGTGCGGGTTCTGAGATTCACCTAAGGTGATTGGTTTCTTTGTGGTGGGAGAGGACGGCAACAAACGTGAGAATCTAAAACATGGAGTGATAATAAATGCCACAGAAGAACATGTGCAACAGTAATGAACACCTTGAATGCCCGAGTTGAAATCGTCGATAAATAATCGGATATTTCAAAAGTCCTTGGATTTATACTTATTTAGGGATTATATGATTGTGTCAAATAATTCTACTTCAGTAAATGTGACATCACTATTGCCAATGAAACGAAATCATCCTTGAATACTTCCTCGAGGGATTCATACCAACCGTTTAACTTGCACCTAACATCTGATTACCATTACCCTTTCTATACTACACAGGACCACTTTGCTGCCATGAGGGAATACTCACATCCACGGCCTTTTTCAGTTACGATGAGCCCGATCAGTTGCTCTCGCAGTTCATGTGTTCCGTGGCCGAACTCTCGTCACGCTTTGTACATGTGTCCCAGAACCTCTTACACTTATCCGCGTCCCACATTTCCTGGAACACCTGTAATTGTCGCTAACCCAACCAGTACGCCATATAAGATAAGCGAAGCTGACTGGTGCATGCCTGCTGGGTTACCCCAATCGAACTATTCTTGTCGGACGCACGATCTGTTGGATTCTCAATGCCCGATGAAATCGGTTCAGTCTCAACATGCCGTGACTAAACCCACGACGATCCGGGAAGTTCAAGTGAATAAGAGTGATGTGCAAAATTCTCTGCCTGCTTATTTCACGTTTTCACCTCATTTTGAACTAAGCGGAACTCTCAAGGATTCTGTTAGCCATTTAAATCCACAATGTAATTCTTGGTGTACCAAGGTGACTAAACATCAGTCTACAAAGTCTATACAACCAGATTCCAATCCATATGACTATTCTAGTATTGCACTGGTTAGTGCTCCAAGCACTAAAGTAACACACAATCCCATTCATAGTCCGCTACCAGCTGAAACTGATCAGTATGATTGGCCGCTATACTCGTCAACGGCATCTATGAAAACAGGATCAGCTGAGGATTATTTAGACGCCGTTCCTTTAATGAAATCAATCGGTCGACGTATAAGCTGGCCACCGAGACGGTTCATTTATCGTGCACCCAGTTCCTACAAAACAACATCTCGGAGAAATTCAGAACATTCCAATTCAAGTGCCACAATCATTGCCAGCCGATCCTCTCCGATCCCTTCGACCACAGTGTATCGACTATCGGTGCCTCCCAGTCAGTCAAAACAAGAAGAACAACCAACGAACAACACGGAATCTGATATTTGGTCCTCAGTAATCGCCTGGGGGCAAGCGTTTCCACACAAAGCGGTACGGTTTTGCATGAAAATGATCCATCGATCACTACCGCTGGTACGTAATATGACGGTAAGTTACGATTTTGGCCGATTTTCAATTATCATCCCTAATGATATCAAAAAATACCTTGAGAGGAAAATAAATATGTAGTAACATACAAGGTTGTGAACGAAGGAGTTAGCAAAGTCACGTAGTGCAAAATATTTTACATGACATGATTAACTTAGTTCAAAAACAAGATGCTCCAAATAAATCCATCAGTAAAAGGTACCTTTTTGATAAACAAAATCAGAACATATGATATCCGTTTCAGTTTCAGTTTGTTTAACCGTTGACTATGCACTTTTGTGCGCCGTTTTTGGTCACTGTCGTATGGTTGCTCATTTAGATGAATGGGTAGAAAGAAAACTGGAATTTTCAAAGCAGAGTCGGTGATAAAATGGAGTATTTTTAAAACTACGATTGTACAGAAATTGAGAAGATGCACGGGTGCAACTGTTAACGAAACTCAACTATATCACTCGGTGTCTCTAACCACCGGTTACGATTATCCCGTTGTCCTCATCCAGGAAGCCTAACGCGACCTATGTGAGCACGTCTCCTAGGGTTTTCATACTCTCATGCCAGCTCACTTAATGCCAGGTCACTTAATTCCTTTTTCCACCTAACACCTGTGTTGGTAAACAACATGCGTCGTGGATATCTACTAGGCGACAAGCGCAAATCATGCCCTAACCAACGCAGTCTTTTAAGGACGATCAATTGTTCCACTGAACGACCGCTTTGAACTCAAACTCGGAGTCTAACTGCCGATATTCCTTGAATTGGAAAAGGTCAATCGAGCCTAACGTATGCTAACCGACACACCATGTGCAACGCGTCCTACAGGTGAGATATCACTGACCAAATAAAAAAAATCTATCTACTTCCTCTACTACCTTCTCAGATAGAGAGAGGCTGGATGCTAGACCAACCCAGTCCTGTAGCAACATCTTAAACTTTGACTGTGCAAAACACATACCGGGCATGGCTACACTAGCACTCAAACTATCCGGAAAAGCTTGCAATTTACCTGGTTCTTCGCTTCGCAGTAAAACGTCGTCTATATATTCCAGATCAGACACTCTACCATCTGGGAGTAGCTCGATGCCATTATTCTTACACGAGGACAGGACTGTTCCCCTAATCAAATCTGTGACAAAGTTAAAAAAGAAAAGGGGAAAGAGAGAAGGCAACCCTGACGAGCATCACTTTCTGTGGTGAACTCGGGCGAATAAGTGTCATAGGCTCGGGTTCGGTTTCGGCTATTAGTATAAAGAGATGGCAGAATTGAACTTAATTTCTCGGGTAATCCTTCAGAGAGAAGCAGCGCCAGAGTTTAAAGCGGTCGACTGAGAAGAAAGCCGCTTCCATATCAAGGAAGGTAGAAATGGTGGGTGTACGAAAGGAGTGTCTGTGTTTCACAATAAAATGCGGTTATGAGAAAAGGAGATTTTCAATTAACAAATCTGATAGCTTCTGTTTGTTTCATCTCACTGGTTGAGCACTGGGTGATATCCCATGGCTGGCGCAAGCAGTAGGCATCTCCTAATATTTGCGAGTGAGAGGAAGAACTGGATGAATGAGAAAGGGGTTTTTCCAATTGGGTAACTAAGATTTTGTGGGATAAAATACTTCGCGGGATTTTTGTTTGGAAACCCTGACCGGAGCCTTCGACTCAAAAGTCGACCCACAGTGCACTGGGGCATAGATCCAACGCGAGAGCGTGACCGAAGCACCCGTGTAGGACCTTGTAGAGACCTGTCATGCAATGTGTTTGAGTTTAGGTTCAGTGTGTTGTTTGCTGGTGTGTTGATTGTCGGTCGGCTGTTAGTGGTTGGCCCTCAGTCTCATGCATCCAATGAAAGAAGCGGAATGTGAACGGGACAGTACCTTGTGGCCTGGGAGTTACCAAGCTTGAGCGGGCGGTATCTGTCCAATGAAGTACAAAGATTTCTCTCACTGTCGGAAGGAAGCCCACGGCAACCTCCTCCTGCGACCATTTAGCGGTGTATTTTAGACTGGTGAACTGTTCTTCACTGCGTTCATTCACTGGATTGGCCTCTCCGGGAGGGGGGGGAGATAGCGGAAGTGCCAGGAGGTGCTCAAGCAACTGGGCTTGTGAGTTTGAGCTCTGTCTAGCCTCCACCTATTGAACATTTGGGCGTCGTTTCTGCAACGTGTGACTTGCTATCGCCTTCACTGCCACCCCAGATTTCGGAGGCCCGCGTTTGGCAACCCCTTACCACCAACGCCATAGATACACCTTATTTGCATTATCCATCACTATTTTCCTCTTCACAAGAAACGACCGAATTCGCCTTATTGTCATTTTATACTTCGCTCACTCGTCGAGACGACCGAGGATTGGGGAGCTTATACACGCTCCCCGTTTACGACGTTTTGATTTGGATTCGATCCCTCGACCTGACAACTTTAAGGTGCTTGCGCCTTCCTTCATTTGCGTCTGAATAGAACCTCACTGTGATAATCGGTTTCCACTAGTAAGCAGCTGATCCTCTGGACAATGAGGTTTACCCCGGCTGTTTTTCGTCGAATATAGAGGAACAAAAATTTCGAACTTCGGAGTTCTAGACGATTTAGTTGTACGTATCATAGTATTTATACGTTGGGAAATACTGTGATGTGCCTGGCACTTTTGCATCAGTAACAAAGATGCGCTCTGTGTACGCTGCACATCTGCTTCGATATTTTGGAAGGCATCAGTTGTATACTTCATCGACTACAGCGGAGATTGAACCGATCTCATCTCTCTTCATTCTGTATTTTTATCTTGGTACTGCACACAGTTTGTACCTTTTGAAATTTCTCTTCATTCATTGATCGGTCAGATGGACTGGGAAAACCGGTGTACGAAATTAGGTGTTTAGTGGTTGTGCAAAACTGGAACTCAATTTGTCCCATCCAACCACCGGGAATTAATCACATTCATTTACTTCATGCTTCAGCACGATGTATAACTGCCCCGTTTTAAAGCCTGATACAAGCCACTGTAAATATCATCACAACACCAAGCTCTGTATTTTCTGACTCATTTGGAAAAGCCCCACAGACCACTACTGTGTAAAGCAGATTAGTAAAGAATCTCATTTCATCGTATGACTAAGTTCATCCGGAAGGTGTTACACAACCGTATTAATACAGTTAGCATGAATTAAAATGTATTTTCTTGAAGGTGCTTGTCAGGGGAAGCCTAAACTTCTGAGAATTCTCATGGTATGAAATAGAAATGGATTGGGACCAGTCACCACCGTGTGAACGTGTCGACATTTTCGCAATGTTCCTGGTTACGTGGGCGTCAGAGTAAAAGTACAGAGAACGGTGACCTGATTTCTAGCTAGTCCCCATCGCCGCCCACGTAACCCCCATTCTGGACAAATGTCTAGACAGTGAGCAACCCCATAAATACTACATGTTTTATTCCTTACTTGACCTCGACCACGTTTTGGCTGATGATAACAATAAAGGCCCACACTGTTTTCCAACTGCCCTTTTACTGGAACTGTTGGAATACTCATCGTAAGGCATCGTAAGGTCCTGTGATAGTTTGGTGAGATACAACAAAATGGGGACGGAATAATGGGAAATTTCAGTGAATTTTTCGGCAGACCAATTTCAATGCCTGTTAATGCAGCAACAAAATCAGATGGAAGCTCAGCTGAAACTGATCGAATTATTGACGCAGCGGCTCAACCTGCAAACAACAGATTCAGTTTCGCGTGAATTCTGCTCCAGCTCTACTGAAATGCTTGCCGATTCAATCGCTGAATTCAACTATGATCCTGAAGCTGGTCACACTTTCGAGGAGTGGTTCAAACGCTGGGAAGACGTGTTGCGAACAGACTTCAGTTGTCAAGGCGATACATGGAAAGTGCGCCTTCTGCTCCGGAAACTTGGAGAACGAACACAAGAGATCTGTTGACCATATTCTTCCCAAACAACCAAAGGATTTGAATTTTGACGAAGCGGTGGCACAATTATCGGAAATCTTTGGTGAGTCATCTTCATTGTTCAGTATGCGCTACGAGTGTTTGAAAATTAGTATACGGAATGGAGAGGATTAGGACATACTGGCAGATCGAGTCAATCGTCAGTGGGAATGTTTCAAACTTCGCTCATTGACTGATGATCAATTCAAGTGTCTCATTTTCATCAGAGCACTGCAGAATCTCAGAGATGCTGACATTCGTACCCGTTTATTATCCAAACTTGATCACGACCCGGATATGAACTTGAAGTCTCATGGCCGAGTGAAAACGTCTTATCTCCCTGAAAAATGACACTGCGTTGGTCGAACAGAAGACTTCTATACCTGACGTTCATTCAATGCATTGCCCAAAGAATCAGCCAGTCGTGAAGAAATTCAAATCCGTGAAACGCCCCACCAGTAAACTGCGTTCCGCATGTTGGTCGTGTGGCAAATGGCATTTTGTACGTTTTTTGTCCATTCAAGAAACACATCTGTCAAAAGTGCAATACACGGGGTCACAAGAAGAATGCCGCCCGGTCAGCCAGACACACTCAAGGTAGTCAGAAGAAAGCGGTTCACGAAAAGTCCAACAAACGTTTCGCAGAAGCAATCTCAGTCGTTGCGGCTTTTCAAAAGGATTGCCTGCCAAAGAAAATTCTCTACTGTGCTGATCAATGGCAAACCAGCCAAACTGCGGTTGAACACAGCCTCAGACATCACTCTAATCTTCAGAGGCATATGGAACCGCATTGGGAGACCACAAATGAGTTCATTTAGCAAGAAAGAGAAAATTGCTTCAGGAGGTGAGCTGAGACTGACAGGTGAAATCAATTGTGACGTTTCATTCCAAGGCATCACCACACAAGGAACGTATCTGACCGATTGACCCAACCTAAACTTCCTAGGTCTTGATTGGATCGAAAAGTTCGGACTATTTGATGTTCCCACGAACCAAGTATGCCATCAAGTCCGAATGCAGACCAGGTCGATCGCAGACATGATACAATCACTGAAGCAGAAGTTTGCACCTGTATTCCAGGAAGGCCTTGGTCACTTCACAAAGTTTCCTATCTTACATTCACTGAAACCGGATTCCAAGCCAGTGCCTAAACCCAAAAGC